AATCCAACTCTCCTTGTATGCATGCATTCGAAAAATATTTTCTACACGTCCTTCGAGTTCAAATTCTGTAGAAATCATTCACAAAAAATACACTTGAAAAAGTTGGAGCCTAATTCATTTATACAGTGATTTTTATACATTAATTTCAAGTTCATCGACCTCATACCACATCTTCATTTCGAATCACAAAAAATGAAAATTTATTGGATCATTCCACAACATCAAATCCGTTTATCAATTCGTTTCAACTTCTCAAGCGGCCATTTTAAAATTCTAACCTAAATTTACTCAAATGAATTCCGTTGCACTCATGCAAAAAATAAAAAGGCAATTTCAAGAAAAATCCAAGGAAAAATGCTCACCCGACGTCGGACTTCAAAACGGGCAGGTCCTTCCATCATTTTGTGGCCAGCTAAATCACGAATTGCGACAGGATTGTATGTAGCGGACAACGCATGCAGGATAGCGACGGGATTCACGCACATCATCGCTGAAAACAGATGGTGTACCAAAAAAGCTCATGAGTAAGAAAAGATAATTTTCGGCATCATCAATTTAATAAAAAAAAGAGATTAGAGTAAAGTTGTCGTTCTAAAAGCTTCGGACAAATTTCAGAACTTTTGAAAATCACCAGGATGGAACAGTTCCCTCCATGGATACGGGACGAGTTTGAGTTTTCCGTTGTGCGTGTCTTTCCATCGGGCAGCTATTCGAACGAGATGCGTTTCCTCTGCAGAAAACAACTTGTTTTTCGTTTCCTTGCTGAATAAACAGTCTACAGGAGCACCACGAGTGACCATCTTGGCTATGAACATCTTCAGCAATCGTTTCTGCTTCGAAGACCCCTTCAGCAAAACCTCTTGACAAACCTGTGAATATATGAAATGGATATTACATATCAAAATAAATATCCGCTGACAGTCGATACGGGATGTTTCTGGAGGGAAACTAAATTGCTTCGAGGAATCTTACGATGACAGTTTTCCACAAGATGGACAAAAATCTGTGGACCTATGTTTAATTAATGTTTCCTCGAAGGTCGAAACTTTTGAAAAAAATCAAACGTCGAATTCAAAATTGATCGAATCAGTTCAACGGGGAACAAATTCAACAATCTCGTGACACGCAAAAAATGAATTACCTGGATAAATTTGTAGAACTGCGGCCTGTGCTGCGCTTTGCTGAATTCGATGAAATCCCAGTGCACACATTCGTCTTCCCCAATCACATTTCGCACTACATTCGTATATGCGACTTGTTCCCAGTCATCTGAACCTCGGGCACCCGTCCAGTTCACTTCATTACTTCTGAACTCGCGTTCGAAATTCTCCCGAAGATCAGCTGGCAATTCGAATTTCGTCGTATCACTGACAAGCAGATCCAACATTTCCTGGACAAAGAGAAAAATCACGCGCATGAACGTCCGAATTCCGCCGCACTGCTCAAAATAATTTACTTCGGCGTCCCGACGAAGGCAGCGATCGCGGAACATTTCTCTGTAACTCGGATTAGAACGCTTCCCGGAACTGTGGTATTTTATGGCGTCAAAATCCAGTCTCAATGCCAGTGCATAACCCCGCAGGTAGGGTTCCTTCAAAACGCAGTATCTACACTGCGGAAGATCCAACTTGAAGAACGAATCCAACACGGAGGAAAAGCATTCACGGGCACCTTCGAGATCTTCTTTGAAAAACAAGTAAACGCCTAGGTCGTAGTTGTTCTGCGGAATATTCAAATAAATGAATGCATCGAATAAAATAACAGTAGGATCAAACCTGGCAAATGGCTTCACAAGCGTTAATTGACTTCGCTTTCGACCAATCAAACTGTGGTCCCGTCATGCTCGAGAATCCAGTGAAACACTCCGCAGTGGGAAGTGCAATTGGAGCTTTATTCCTGATTATTGCTTGGAGAATTTGACAGGATATAATGGACATCTTGTCGAGTTCTTCCAGAACGGAATCCACTGCTTCCTGGTTCACTTCGACGATCAAAGACGATGGCCTGTGGCATACGCAATCAAGTTCCGTGAAAAATTACAGCCGAAATATGATAGATTTCCCCTCCCCCGGGCTCGTATTCCAATAATAAATGCACTCACATTGTGACAGTAGGTGGAATTGAACCTCGCCGCTGAGGTGCACACTTAATAGCCTCATTACACATTGTGTAAACACACCATCGATGGTAAAGGGCAACCGCTCCACGCTGGTGTGGCTTCAATCCGTCTAAAACAGCGGCAAAATCTAGACCACCATTCTCCATGTTCCAAGCAGGAAGCTGCGCCGCAGTCATCATTTCATGAAACAGATGCTGCTGAAGTGGTAATGGAACCCTGACAGAAAAAGCAATCAACGAAGATATAGATAAAAACGCTTTAGAACGTACAAATAATTTCTACGATTTACTCTGAGATAATCGTGAGGTTCCAATTCAGCAATGCGGCAGTTCTCAACGAAAGCACGCGAAGAGCTTTTGAAATCTTAAGTCGTCCGACTTCTGAATTTCCTTCCCCTTCCGCTTTACCAGCTTCCTCGCGTGACTCAGCATGCTGGAGGAAGTTCGTCAGAAGATTTGCCCCTGAGGGAACTGAAAAGGACTGAATTACAGACTTTCCTATCAGCATGCATCAAGTTTGTACTCAAACCTGGAGCTTTTCCATCTCTGGAGCTTAAATGTTCGTCCAATCGTGCCGGGTTAAGAAGAAATTCAAACCAGACCATGGAAGCATCTTGACCACCAAAACGGTCCACTTTCACGGTTGTATTCATCCCATACAACATCTTTAAAATCTGCAGTAAATTATGAATGTAAGACGATCGTACCGGCGAGAGATGCCATTCTTTTACACAAAATTAGATCAGATTCTCCGAAACTCGGCGAAAAATGGTAAGATTCATGTCATCGTCCCTCTTGGACGCCGGTAAGAACACGCCGGTTTCAACAAAGAACCGAAAGGCAACAAGCACTAGAGAATAAGAATAAATTGACGGGAAATCACGTTGCATTCGCCAATGTTCGCGACCAACAAGTTAATTGGAATCCAAAATTTAAAAAGAAGACACACGTTGATTAACGTAAAGCCTTCGCGTACACCTTCCGTTGAACAGTTAACAACCAATCAAACACGTTCTTGGGATTCGCTGAAGGGTCTGTGCCGAATTCGCAGAGTGAAGTTCCATGGTGCTGTTAGGCCCGCCCAAGAGGGGCGATACCTAACTGTCGTTCTAACAACATTTCTAGTTGTGCAGACTGCCCACCAGAATCGGTTGTACTGTATCACTGAGGAGCGAGGTGGAGCAGATGAGGAGGGACAGGAAATAACAAGAAGCCACCCCTCCAAAAAAGTGTGTGAATTTGCATTTTTAAATGGCTAGCATATGTGAATTTGTATTTTACAATAGAACATTTTTAATTTACAAAGTACCCACATGTACCATCTGCGTCAAATCATATTAACGCAAAGTTTTACTATATAGAATAAAAAATTGCCTGGGGATGATTGTAGTATTTTATCATATATGACCATCAGTGTGTGATTTTTGTGTTTTTAAATGGGGCCTGCCTGTTGTGTTAAATTTTACTATGGCCTGTGCATGATGTTCTTAATGGCTTCTGTGTTATAATGTATTTTACAATGGCCAATTCATTTTTGATGTATTTTATACAGTGGCCTGTATATGTGATAATGTATTTTACAATGACCAGTATGTTTTTTGTTGCTTTATTTTACAAATGTAATTTTGTATATGTGATTATTGTATTTTATTGTGGCCAGTGAGTGTTTATTGTATTTCACATTGGCCTGCTGTGAATTATTTTGTGCCTTACAATATTGGTCAGTGTGTGATGTTGATTTATTTACAATGGCTGCAGAAAGGTTTTAATTGCTTGTGTGTTTTGCTGTATTTTACAATGGCCTGTGCATGTGTGATGATGTATTCTCTAATGGCCTGTGCTGTTTGGTGATATATTTTAAATTGTGTATTGTGAAGATGTATTTTACAATGGCAGGTGCATTTCTGTAATATTTTATTCAACAATGGCCTGTGTTAGTTATATTTTACTGAGACTTGTTCAATATGTACAGTATTTACAATGTCTGGTGTGATATGTATTCACAATAGCCTGCTGTGTGATGTTACATATACAGCAATGTTGAGTGTGTGATTTTACATATAAATATGGTGCATGTTATGTATGATATATTTTACAATGGCCAATGTGTTGTGAAGATTTTTTTTGTATTTTACAATGCTCTGTGCATGATTATGTGTGTTACATATTTTTTGTGGAAATTACAATTATATTATACCTTTACAATTATATTATTACCTTTTTTGTAGATTCATAGTTTCTCTTTATTTATATTTATAATTTTTATATTATAGTATTTATATCTACGTATGTATCTGAGCATATATATTGGCCACTAAATATGTGCTGTGTATCTGAGTAGATATTTAGTGGCCAAGATGTAAACTAGCTGAAGCATTATATTTCCTGCCAATCACATTGACATTTTCTGCACTAATGATGCATCACCTGCAGGATGTGAAAAAAAACCTGGTTTGAATGATCAGAATAATTCAAGTGCGATTTTACCTCACACGCAGTTTCTTGAACGATACTGAAAAAAATCAACATTCATTAACTTTATACATGGTAATTTTGAAATGCGCAAATAAATTAACATCATATGTTCTGAAAAATAAACTCTGATCAATTTTTTTTCTTATTTTGATGCACAGCAGAATGCGATTTTTTATTTTCATTTTCAAAATTAGGCATACTGCAAATTTATATATGAAGACTGTCTCAATTAAGTCTCTCAACTTTTCATTTGTACAAATAATGAATCCTGCTATCCATTATACTGCAGTAGCAGGGCTCTTAGAAAGGGATGACTTTGTGAAGAAGAAAAACGTAATCTTAGTGTTGCACTTGTTGTACAAAATAATCTTGAGCTTCCAAAATAATCAAAATAATCTTGGGCATGGTTATGTTTCTTGTGCTGCCAAAATGTTTTCATTTCATAAAATCATTATTGGACTGGAACTTTGCTCGCGTTTTTCTTGCCCGACCGGCACCTGAGTTCCGTTGCGGATATTTTTGCTGTGGACCGTGAAGGAATAAAGGTGATTGCCATGGATGTTGGAGAATGGAAAGGTGCTGTGTGTATATATTTCATGCCTCCATTAGGATGACTTAATTGCACCTTCGACGCGACGATGGCGCAATGGGTGGCAGGAGGACGGCGGCATGCCCGGTGAGTCCATAAGGCAGTGGCTGGAGTTGGTGCCACTTTCTGTTGGTGGCGTTGAACTTGGCCACGCGTTGCATTACGTGGGCGCTCTTGCAGGTCATGCCGCCAATGACCAGGAACTCTTCTCCTGCAGCCACAAAATAAGATGAGTTGGGGAAAATGTGTTTATTATACAAATGTATGCAAATATGTTATCAAAGAAGGGAGGCTCAAGTGGAAAAAATACAGTACTGTACAGTATACAGTGAGACCCCAAGATGCGGACTTAATTGGTGCATCAAGAGTGTCCCCAAGTCGAAATGTCCCTAAGTTGAGTCTAATTTTCCCTTAGACCTATACGAGGGTTCTAACAAAAGTTCTCGTGTTCAAAACGTTTGTCGATGATTTTTGGTAACTGCTGCTATCTGTAACAGATTACTATACAGTACTTGTTTTTAAATTATTACCAGAGGGAAACTGCGTCTTGAATCGTAAAATTAACAAAAAAAGAGTCAGATATTTTATGTATGGGATACAGGTTCCAACGATTTTGCTAGTAATTGTGACATCATGTGACGATTACCTGCACATGTAACCATATTTTATTTGTCTCCAGGTCATGCCTCCAGGTCATCTAAGGCAATTCCGCCATTTTCATCGACAGCCGCCGACACAGCCGCCAAAGTGGCGGCCACTTTTTTTCCAGCTCGAAAGTGGCGGCTGTGACGGCGGCTGTCGATGAAAATGGCGGAATTGCCTGGAAGACTTTATGGCAGGTATACATTAAAATCTTGTTACAACAAATACCATTACAATAAATTATAAAGTATAACAAACTTTTTTCAAAGTCCTGGCAGAAATCCTATAGGGAATATGTTATAAAAATATCATTATAACAAACTCACCAATTCCAGTATAACAAACTTTTTTTGGGGAATATTTGTGATTTCTTAATGGAAAAACCCCAATGAAGGCAGGAACAGTCTCAAATTTTCCATTAAAAATGTGACTGACTGGTTGTTTAATTGGGACATAACGTGGTTGAATCAATGATGAAAATTATTTAAAATCCACCAGAAAAATTTATCTTTCAACATTTTTGCCTCATGTAGGAAAGATGGGTGGGGGGGGGGGGGGGTAGATGGAAAAAATGAACCCAACAAAACTCATGTTCACAAGGGTTTCTATGCTTGAGAAACAATACTGATGCTTGACAATTTTGAGCTTTTTGGAACATGCATCTGTTCAAGAATTTCTTAGAAAACCTTACTCAACAAAAAGTGCTAGTGTCACCTGTTATTCAGATTAATTGCTTGTTATTAACAAATTAATTTATTTTTTAAAATATCAGTTTTTTAAAATGCTGAGAAATATCTGAAAAAGCCACAGGAGGAATATGCTGAAATTCTGCAGGTTTAGTTTTCAGGAAATCTTCTCATCAGTCACAAATTTTGAAAATCTCAATACTGTATAACAAATAATCCATTATAACAAACATTTTCTGAAGTCCCCAAAAGTTTGTTGTAATGAGATTTTACTGAAGTTTAAAAGTTTTTGCATTCTTGAAAAATTAAGAACCCATGAAGGAGCTATAGTGATATGTTTTCAAGAAATAAAAAAGGTTTAACAGAGTGAAAATTGTAAAAAATTCATTTTATGATGTGAAAATGTGTCCAAAGTCAGGAGGAAAGCTAACACTTAATTTTCATTAATTTTCAGATAATTGTAACTGCCTTATTTTTTTTGCCAAAATTACAGAGAAAGATGTTATCACATTCTTCATAGATATACTTATGATTTATCATGCTGGAGAAAATATCCTGTGGACCATATAGGTTGGGGAACATTGGTATTATATAGATGACAGATTGCAATATAATCACCACCCAGGGCCACAACGGCATGTCCATGGCATGGCACGTCCATCTCCAGGTCAAACACCCAGTCCTCTGTGTCATTGTCCCACACATCCACCGTGGACACGGCATGCATCCTGCTGCTTAGCAACTGGTGCAGTGCGGATGATGGAAGCCGACTACGTTGCTTGTGCTGCTGATCCTTATTATGACTATTAGTGGCAGCAGAAGGTGATGGTCCACAGGGGGTGGCGCCAGTGCTGCTTGCAGTGCTAGCTGATGACTGCTGTCTGCCAGCCCCACCAATGATGAACAACTTCTGTTCTGTGTGAGCCACTTGCAGGAAACCCCTGGGACACTGCAGCCCAGGGCCCTCAATCCACCTGCGCCCATCATGGAATGGATGTGTGGGGATTACAATAATATACAGTGAGACCCCCACATGTATGGACACCTTATTACAGCATGCAGACAATTTGACAGAGTGACACTTATTTTCCCATGCAAAATTAATAAAATAGGCCCAACATGAGGACACTGACTCAACATATATAGGGACATTTTGTGATACAATTGCAAATAAGTTTCAGGCCAAATTAACCCTTGGGCAGAAAAGTTGGACTATTTTCACAAAATTTCATTACACCTCAGGGCAGAAAATAAAAAAAGGACAACAGGGATTTGAGGAAAAAGTCAGGGAAAAATCCAATGTTTTTTTTTTTCCTTTTGCACCAAAACATTTTGTGGGAAAATGAAAAAAATGCTATGCTAAACAATGGGCTTTTCTTGGATTAATCCCAATTTTGCCTCAGCCCACCTGGAAGGTCTTTTCTGACCTTCAGAAAACTCAAAACGCCACCATATACAAAAATAATCCAATTTTGGCCAGCGATGGGAAAGAACCCTCCGCCATCCAAGGGTTAAAAGAAACAGATATTTCCAACCCTGAAATTGATGTAAGAAAAGTTCTTGGGCACTTCTCTCACCATTTTACCATCAATTTAGCTGATTAAAAAAATTATCTCCAGCTTAGAGGGACTTACTTCTCACTTTTTTCACTTGAACGTTATTTTTACAGAGAATGCCAACATTTATCTCAATTCCCAAAATGTCCATATTGTGTTGAAATACATTGATTGGAATCAGTTTAAATTGGGACACAATTTTTATTTTCATGGAATTATGGTCAGTATTTTGTACATAAAACACCAATTAAAAATTAAATAATGTAAGTCTAAGGGAAAATGAGACACTCTTGATGCACCAAATATGTCCAAATCCTGGGGTCTCACTGTATATAGACATCAAGTAGCTTTGCTGGTATATTATAATATTGATGAGACACAACTTGCTTCTTTTGTTTTGGGTGGTAGCACTCCACTCTGGTGGTTGGCTTCAAGTTGGTGGTGATGCCTCCTATTGCCCACATCATGCCTTTGAAGTAGGTTGCTGCCAGGGCAAATCTGGGCGCGGATATGGGGTGAAACTTTTCCCATATGGGAGCCCTCTTGTTTGGGTTCAGTCTGATGACTGTGGACAGGATTCTGTGGGTTGGTGAGAGAGAGAGATATGGTCTTATTCATTTGTTGTTGCTTATTGATAATCATTGTGAATTCTGGATTGACTGTACCATATATATGCAAGCTGTTTGAAACTACTGTAAAGCAATAGGCAGTGGTGCACAGCAGATGTATAAAGTATATATACTGTGTATTTCATACTGTACACATGTGTATAAATAAGGGTTGGATTATGAATTTTGTGACTGTCTTTTGCTATCATCAGAGGAGGACAACAATTATTTTCTTTGGTTCTTCAAGTCTTCTTAAACTTCTGGTAACCTTTTGGTGGCCCACTGCTGAGCTGCAGATGGAGACAAGCAAAAGACCTCCAAGTGTATACCCTAGCTTTGGTGTCCTTGAGCTGCCTCTTTATTTGCCATATTGTGCCTCTGTGGCTTTTGGCTGTTATGGAGAGTGAAGAACAACATCTAATCTAAGATTGTTTCCAAGGACAGGGATAGCATCATTCTTGTGTCAAAATGCAGCTTAAACAACTAATATAAAACTCAATTTTCGACACTTTTGATTGTTGTATTTATTGCATGCAAAATGCATTGAAATCAACCAAGAATATTTTGAACAGCTTGAAGGAGTGTTACCAACTTATGGGACAATACATGCAAATGAAGACAATTTAAAAATTTTTGAAACTTTGTTGGATCTATTCAAAAAGTCTGAAACTTATGAAACACCCCTTGTGTTCTGAACATGTATTCAAAACACACACTGATATGAAAGACTGTATATATACAAGTCTTCCAATAGTGGAAAAATTTCTCCTGTCCCTGGCATTCATTGGAGCCTGGCTTGTATTGGGGGCTGGCATTTACTAAAAAAATTTGCAGCTAGTTTGGAAATTGCCAAGGCAAAAGCTCATTTAATTAATTAAGCATGAATGTATGAAAATAATGATTTTAAGTGAAGGGGTGCTCCAGGGTGGATTCTTTCTTCAGAATTTCTTCAAAATGATGGAACTTAATTTCAAGTTAAAGGGATTACTTTAACCTCCAATGGACACAAGAGGACACAAGTCCCCCTTGATTTTTTACCCCCCATCTCTTACCCTCTGTTATTGTGTCAATGAATAAAGATTCAATGAATTAAAGAAGGCACAATAAGACCACTGATGACAGTGCACACACTATAGCAGAACAACCATGACATGGACAAAGGAAAGGAAACTGATGGTGGTGGAGATGATGTATACATCAATGCATAATATACAGCAGCACTCAGCTGATTGTCACTTCCAATGCCGCCAATTACATAGATCTTGCCACGAAACACCAGCAATGAGTGATGCATCCTGGCCTCAGGCATGTCAGACAGCATGTCCCAGGTGCCCTGGCTTGGATGAAACCTCCAGCACTTTTGTGAAGGCGTCGCCTTTGTATTGTAGCCATCATCTGGCACAAGCAGGGGCACTGCTCCACCTGTGCATTTTGTAAATAGATTATACTTTTAATTATGTACACTGTACATATAAGTCCTTGATTGCAATGTTGTGCTGCAGTAATCCATGGGATATATATATATATATATATAATGACACAAATTGCCATTATCTTCATTAAAAGTGTATCATTGATGACTTATTCTTATTGTCTTCATTGATGCAAATTGATTGCATACCAAATTCCCAGCTTAATTAATTGAAACTGGGATGATGAGATTTTTCAGTAGTTCTCAATGCATAGGTTGGTTCATTATTGAGTTGATTATGATGGATTGCATTGTGGTAATTTGTTTGCTATGCGTTGAATTGCTTTGCTATATACCATGAATTAGATTAGATATGCAATTATTCAGCAGGGGGTGATTTACTCCAGGATATTCATTGGTACACAGTGTACCAAATCTTGTTCATGTTATTAAAATAACGCCGCTGTATCACCTTGCTTCTCTGTCTGAATGGATTTTGTTCTTTGAAATACACTACATTTGAACCTATACCATGCTTGTGGGTTGGATGCAGCCTCTGATATTTCTTGAGTTTGTGTGATTGTAAAATAAATATGTGACATAGCCCATATAATATTGTATAAGGTTCTAAGATTTTATTTATTTTAGTTTTTTGAAGCCTTTTTAAATTTAATGCACAAAATGATAGGTGAAACCTTTCCAGTCACAGCCAGAGTTCCTGACCATGCCACAGGGTGCATAAAAGCTTGTCAGATGCATTTGAAAATATTGAAATCTTTTATTGTTGTACCCATAATCTTTTCTATATTTTGGATACTTGAAAAAAAATTCAAATTTTATGCTAACCTGACAAATTTCCAACACCCTGTGCCCCATGAGCAAAGAACTCTGGCAGAGACTGGGAAGTATTCTCTCCTATCATCAAGAACTATATTTAGAAAACTTTTTTAACATCCAAAAGAAATTGAGAACCTTGAAACACTATACAAGCTTTGTCATGCATTCTATTCTTAACTATTATGTTTTTCACAATCACACAGTCTCCGGAAGTGTATCAGCAGAGGCCACATCCAACTGGCATATCCCTTGTCATTTATGTGCATCAGCCACCCAAGTGGGGATTATTTGTGTGACCATGCAAATGGTTTATTTGTGTGACCCCACAATAAATGGTGCACACTGGGGTCTACATGGGTTATTCTGGGGTTACAAGCATGCACCTCTGTAGACAAATTTTGCTACCATTCCTGGGCTACATTTGGTGCACAAATGTGACATGACAGGAGTAACAACACACAAATGTACCAACTGAAGGTAACCTCTGTGTAACGTATTTGTTTACAAATGTGACCCTGAGTAATCCATGGCGTGAACGCACAATTGGGGCACATTAGGGATATTCATGTGCAACAGAAGAACTTTGGTACACTTCAGGTGCACAGCAGGGTCACTGTATAGAATTACAAACATATCCCCAGTGTGCACCAATTTCCCCACTTGGGCACACAATTGACTATTTGCAAAAATAAGGAAATACATATATTGGATGAATGGATGCCATTCAGAATCCAGCCAGCAGCCATCAACATCATATTGTGAAGATAATGTAAACTCTGCTCAGAGCATCAGTTATGAGCTTATGACCAACTGCAGAAGCAGTCATGATATTCTTCAAGCATAGTAATGTAGTGCAGTATACAGGCAGCATTTATTTGCTGGAATCCACTAGCATAAGTGACAGCACTGTATATTGTCCAGCACCATGCAGCAGTATTACAACACAGTATATACAGACACCATAACTGATCCTCACCCACAACATAAACACAGCCATCAAAGAAGACAGCAGCAAAGTGGACCCTTGGCTCAGGCAGCCTTGTGATGCCCCACCAACGCTCCAGGTGAGGGAAATACTGGAGCACATATGATGCAGTTTCTGCAGTGAAGCCCAAGCCCATCATGGGGTTCATGCCACCAAGGACCAGGACACTTGGGTGGTCCTTCATGAGGAACTGGATGACCTCAGGCAGTCCTGTGCAGCAGGCACTATGATTGCTCCTAATAATGCTTCTACTACTGCAATCACTCATCCTCATCATCATGGATGCCTGATGTTGATGATGGTTGTTGTTGTCCTCATCGTCATTGCTGATGATGATGTTGGTGTTCCTTGTCATTGTTGTTGTAGTCCTCATTTGCTGTTGCTGTTGCTGCTGTGAAAGTGGTGGCAGGTCTTGGACAAAGAGTTGGCCAACATTGTCCATGCCATTGAGTGAGGTATTCAATAGCACCTTGCCATCTTCACTGCATCTAAATACAGCAGCAGCGGTATTTAAATACTGTCTCTGCTGGACATTTGATAATTATGCATATTTGGTGTGCATAAAAGTAATTGAACATACAGTGGCCCCTGCCTAATAAATGTCTTAATTTGTGCAACAGACTATATAGTCCTTTATGCCAAAAGTCTGTTAAGTGAGTTGAATTTCCCTATAGGTTTACATTAAAAAAATTTAATTTGGTTTTTGTTTGAAAATTTAACAGGAAAATCAGGAAAAAAACTTAGAAACACAGTCATTCTTGAACTGAATCAAACCAGAGCTTTATGCACCTTCAAAACAGGCAAGAAGGAAGCCCATAAGTCACTGAACACACTCAGTCATTCTTTAAAAAGCGAAAAACACATTAAAACAAAGCACTGATCACACAAAGTCATAGTTGCCATGAACTTTGAAAAGGTTTTGTGCACCAGATGGCTCAGCTTGGGCAACTAATGGCCCAGCTCAAGCACAAGAGAAGTTCTTTATGTTGGTCATGCATTTATTTCAATCATCAATCTTTTCTCATCAAGAGTGGTGAATTTCCTTTTTTTGCCAATCTTGTTGGGCATATTTTCTCTCTACAAAACTTGAGTGAATCAGGCACAATTACAACCAAGAACTCAGAAACACTGAACATAACACATTCCAACCAAAAATAATGATTTTTTCACTCAAATTATGTAGGGAAGCAAGGGAGATGTGAGGGATGCACTTCCACCTGTTGCACACACTGTATAATGGACTGAAGTATGTTAGGTGGATACATCAGTCAGCTGGGCAAGAGGGAAAACCAATTCCAGAGGTGGTCCATTTGACAAAAATTGGTATGCCATGAGGTCTGTTAGGCAGGGGGGGGGGGCCACTGAATGTTACATATAGTGACATTACATCAATTAATGAACAAATGATCCAATTTCTGTTGAAAGCACATCACAATTGATCATCATCATCAAAATTAAATCCCATTCTGAGGCACTTTTGCATTCTTCCTTGAAATGCACCAGGCCTGAATCTTTTCATTTCCCCACTTGGAATGCCACAATTTCCCAAAAGTAATTTCCATCTTGGAAGTTGGCTGATGTCTGAATGATGCGTGGCATTACCCTTCATTTCTCCTGCATTATTTCACTGTCTGACAAGTGGCAACAGCTATATATATATATATATATATATAGTATATATTGCTGTTCCCTTATTTCAGCTATTGGTATAAATATTTTACCAGATTGGAAAGTCAAATGTATTCAACATAGCCATTGTCAGGATTATTCCATAATTTTTTCATTAAAATAATGAATTTTACTTTCCTTTTGGAAATAAGTCCACGCTCAACTTGAAAAGGTACATAAGTACGGTATATGTTTTTGTTGGTGTATTAGGAAGTGAATCATCCTGAATATCAAGTATACATGCCGTACGCTATAACTCATGTTATATATAGAGTTAATGATTGTTCTTTCTTCCATCAAGCTACTTATGCTATACACCTAACATGCATGCATGCATTCAGCATGAATAAATAAAAAAGGATTTAATGCATCTTCTATACAAACACTTTGTCCTCAATTTATTATTCATTTATTCACACATGCAGCTGTATTTATTTGATTACAATAAAGCTGTGAGAGGTCCTCAGACCCCAACACAAATATCAGGTTTTAGTGAAATAAGTTTATAGCACAATCGGCCGTTTGTTGGCGTACGCTGGGTTAGCGGCGCAAGTGTTGAAGAAGTGTTGTGGATGTTGGCTTGTATGTGTGTGACTTGAGGCCTTCTGGGTGTGGAGGGTTTCACCCACGTGAATTGTGTGGGCAAAATTCTTGACATTCTCCAGGCCTGAGTCCATGTTTGCAATTGCGTCGTGTTTCAATTCTTTGAAGTGGTTGATTGCTGACATGCAGTGACGTTGTGCCATAGGATTTGAAAAGCTTAGCCCACGTTTTGACATGTGGGCAAAGTTTTTCACATTCTCCTGGCGCGCGTTAGTTTTGTCACAGCAATCTGTGTAAAACATAACTTTAGTTGAAGCGGGAGACAATGCCCCAACTGCTTGTGGGCATGAGCCGCAAATTCGTATCGTTCCTTTGCAAAATTCGTTGTGTTGTTGTCATCAGGCAAGCTTGTATGTTTTTGTTTCATGTTTGTACTGCGCATGTGCAGTTGCGCAAAGGGTTCAGTTTTGCTTCGTGTCCAGTGTTTATACAATTCCGTGTGATGTGGCGTGTGGCTTCATGCCTTTGGATTTGAAGGGTTTTGCTCACGGAAAAGGTGTGGGCCAAATTCTTCACATTCTCCAGGCGTAAGCTGATCATTCCATCTGGAGTTGTGAAATCAATATTTCCAACCATTGTCCGCTCGTTGTGTTTATAGGATGAAGTGTATGCAATTTAAGGTAACTCATACGCCTCTTCTCATCGGTTTAGTCGACCGGCATCTCGAAACAGGTCGAGGTAAGGGAGGTATTGACCTCTGGCGGCTCGTACGCCAATCCCATCGGTTTTAGTCGACCGGCATCTCGAAACAGGTCGAGGGAAAGGAGGTATTGACCTCTGGCGGCTCGTACGCCAATCCCATCGGTTTTAGTCGACCGGCATCTCGAAACAGGTCGAGGTAAGGGAGGTATTGACCTCTGGCGGTTCGTACGCCAATCCCATCGGTTTTAGTCAACCGGCATCTCGAAACAGGTCGAGGTAAGGGAGGTATTGACCTCTGGCGGTTCGTACGCCAATCCCATCGGTTTTAGTCGACTGGCATCTCGAAACAGGTCGAGGTAAAGGCAGATCGCGCCTAGGTGCAGTGACCAAGTGTGGTGCTGTGACCAAGTTTCCGTCCGTCAAACTCATCTCGAAACAGGTCGAGGTAAAGGCAGATCGCGCCTAGGTGCAGTGACCAAGTGTGGTGCTGTGACCAAGTTTCCGTCCGTCAAACTCATCTCGAAACAGGTCGAGGTAAAGGAGGTATTGACCTCCAGGCGTTTCGTACGCCTGCTTGTTGTACAACATTTTTTCATATGTGAGAGCTCTCATTAGACAATTTTATGATGACATATTCCCCTTTACTTTGTTTCAGAAGCTAGTGCGCACTAGACGTTTTTCTTTTTCAAACATTGTCATCTTGTGAAACAAAGAATGAGCGGAGAAGACTCAATTGACAAAGGTGAGTGTCATTTTTTGTATTTATGTCCCTTTGGCATTTAGGGACAAAAATTTTGACACGTTTCAGAAGCTAGTGCGCACTAGACGTTTTTCTTTTTCAAACATTGTCATCTTGTGAAACAAAGAATGAGCGGAGAAGACTCAATTGACAAAGGTGAGTGTCATTTTTTGTATTTATGTCCCTTTGGCGTTTAGGGACAAAAATTTTGACACGTTTCTGCTTTCTCGTTCCGTTTGCAGAGGTTGCCGATCTGAGCAGTGGCTCCGATGGGGGAAACAGTGCCCCACTCAGTATGGAAGACCAGGACTTCGAATCTCCTCGTCGAAAAGTACGCAAGTTGGATGATGAAGCTGGCGTAATGCGGTTTCCAGAAGGGGCCGTCAAGCTTGCCCCTGTTTTCGGACAGCTGAATGCCAATTGTCTTCATCAACTGAACACGCTTCTACCAGTTGTGGAGACGACAGCATGCACCGATATGACGCGGTCGCATTTGGAGCAAGGTGTAGCCATCAATCCTCTGCGCATCGACAGGGTGCAGAAGGAGTCCAACGAATTGGAGCAGACGGCAGTAGAACTGGAGCAGCGCCGTGATGCGGTTGAACGTCAGATCGCATCGGACAAGGAGCGAATTCAACGTGGAGAGGCACTGATTGCTGCCTCGGACGACTGCCTGAAGGAGGCTTTCAACTCTCATATGCAGATTGACGAGGGCCGCCTTTGTTCAACCTTCGGAAGTGGCGGCATGTTGTTCTTCTCGTCATTTAGAGCTCGCGAGGAGCTAAATGGTATGTACACAAAAAAAGAAATGTTTGTACACATGTTTATGTTTGGAATATGAATATATTCATAGGTGGAGTTCACATTTTCGACTTGGCTGGCGAGCCAAAGCTGTCCGTTGCCTATGGAGCAGCTGATGATCTTCAAGAGTTATGGCTGAGGGAGTACGACGCCCAAGATCTTTCTGGGCCGGCAGCAACATCAACGCCACCTATGCCAAGCAAGGTGACGGTGCAAGCTTTGCAGGCGGCGTTGGAGAAGTGCAGGGACATCGGCGATCGCCTAAGATCACGATCCTGTGATTCAATGAGGGCTGCGGCGGTTTTGGACGTTGAACCAGCTGGTGGCGACTCGGATGACGCAGGAAGCGTTGCACAAGTGGAGGCACCGCAAAACATTAATGCGGTCTTCTCTGCTTTCCGTTAGTGTTTGGAAACATGACTCTTTGAATGTTTGAATGACGTTTTCTCAATATTATGCACAGGTCGCCGGGCTACAGGATGGTGGGAATTCGACCCCAAGGACTGGGATCGCTATGTTTCCAACGTTGCTGAGCGCATGGGTATTTTGGAGGGCAACGTCCAACGATTGAAGTTGAAGGGCCAACATCTCCCGACGCCTGGTTGCAGTGAGCAAGACATTTTATACGGCAATAAGGCGATGGAAATCATCCGAAATGATGCTCGGGAGCGCTCAAAGGTGCGCGTTCTCCTTCTTGGGACATCACTCATTTGTCCATGGAGGGTTGGAAGTCTGGACAAGACGTTCATCACCCGGGTTGGGGAGAAGGAAGATCAGGTGTTCCCTGTTTTTGACTTCAGTCATCTCACCCGAGATGTGAATTTCGACGTATACCAGGTTTGTGTTTGCAAAACAATGTTTGTAAGCTTTTTCAAAGACATTGGTTTGTCCGTTTTCTCAGTATGGCGCCAGCGGTCTCTGTGCTGTGTACGGAAGCAAGTACAACCTTTGGAGCGCAAGAGATGTTCGAAAGCGCGTTTATGAGGACTTGAAGCTTCCTGAGGACTTCCAATTTACGCAATTGTGCGGTCGAATTGGAACCAACGACATTAAGGAGTTGGTGACGGTGACCGGATACTGCAAATACTCCAACTTTGTGGCATTTTTCAATGACCTGAAGGCGTATTACCGCCGCCTGTCCAGGGTGTTCAAATGCCCTGTATTTGCATTGGGGGCTTCTTCCCCTGGAGAATGGGTGGGGAAGAAGGTTCACTTCCAACTACATCCAGAAACGGGATTGCCTTTGTTTCCGTTGCGGCGTGTGGACCGGGGATTGGTGACGATGGAACAACGTCTTGGGGCTGGATCCTTCTTCCAGGGCCTGTTGGACAGGATGCTGCGGCAGGAGGTCGGGCGTCTCCATGGTCATTTGACTGACGTGACCGGATGGTGGGCATTGCCCACTCCACTGGAATTCTTGGCGCCGTACGCCAAGATTACGAAACATGACTGGAAATCGTTCGGTCACTTAAATTCCCGGGCGTATTTGTGGTTTGCCCGCGACCACGTCCTGGCGATGTGTTTTGCTACGTTGATAACAGCATCCGATTCCGAGACCAGTGTTCTGATATGTCCTGGGCAGGCACCAATGTGGAACCCAGATGGTACGACAACGTCAGGCAAGTCACCATATGAACCACATGTGCATTTGCGGAAAGATTCCGAATACCTGTGTCCAATGTTGGCACGTGGTCATGTGGCTTTCGGCGGCGGAGGGATTGTCAAGAATCCATTTGATGAGTAAGAGACAATCAAAAAATGTTTGTAGAAATTTGATTGTTCATCTTGACTGTTTTAATATGTTTGCAGAATCAAGGAGCTGATGTATACCGACTTTGAGGAAACGTTTGCTCCAGAATTGACCTGGTCGTCTTGTGATCGGGTTGCAGGTCTCCGGCAGAAAGGCGCATGGCCAATTGGATGCGTCGTCAAAGTGGTAGACAAGAATGAACGAATGATCATTGGCATGTCCGATGATCACTGGCTGTGGCTTGTCGGGCCGCATGGGCGCGTTTTGGTTGCGGCAAGCAAAGTCGAGGCTGAAGTGCCTTATGCAACTGGTCAAAGCCGTTAATTTGTATGAGACTGTTGATCTCGCGGTTGAAGGTATTTTGAACTTAAGGTTTGTGGGCTGTTCTGTTTTTGTTCGTAATTGACCAGTATTTAAGAGGCATTGATTTTTTGCAAACGGGTGGCCTTTGTTTTTGGTAAAGGAATGTTAACCAAGTGCCTCTGGTCCATGTATATAAACATGCGGACATTGATCTTTTCGTTGGTGATAACGTTGAATCTCGTGCTCCTTTTTTCGGCGGCATTTTTGTTTTTGGTGATTGTTTATATATTCGTATGGAATGTTTTGAATACGACCGGACTTAGTTGACACAATTGTCTTTCACTCTGCTGCTGTAGTTGATTGTTCCGCAGAAGTAACCGTTTCCATTTTGTCCTCAATTTCCAGGGGAATCAAGTTTTCAATCGACTGACT